GCCAACCTCAGGCTGCAAATCCCTCTGTCCTGAACATAAGCACTTATTTTCTTGTTATCCTCCCTAAATAAGCTGCTGCCACAGCCGATGGTCTATGCGGTGCTTACGCCGAGTGAGGTGTGTCATGACCAGAGACGACGTAAGCACAACAGCACGTGCGCGGGTCCCAGGGCCTCCTCGCGGGAGCAGCCGGGCATCTGGCGCGCACTGCCTCCTCCAGTCGTGGCTGCAGCAGCAAGGGCCCCATTTTCAGACACGAGGAAGCGGAAGCTCCGAGAGGTGGCGTAACCTTCCGATCACCCCTGCTCAGACTGTGAGTCTGGCTTTAGAGCCGTTCCTCCGAGGACTGCCCCGTCTGCCTGATGACTTCCATGCACTCCTCAGCTTCCCACCTTCCACGAGTCTTCTGCTCATACTTAGTTTTGCTAAAACCCTTTCACTCCCCTCATCTTAAAGTCTCAGTTCTGAATAAGTTACTCAGCAGTGTATTTTTTTTAATTATTTATTTATTTTTATTTATTACATTTATTTATTGTATGTGTGTGTGGCCAGCTCAGCCCACCAGGGGGCGGGGCTGGCTGGCATGTGGTGCTGGGGGATCGAACTGCGGTCCCTGTGCTTTGCCAAGCTTGTTTCAAGTAGGTGCTTTAGACCACTGAGCCATCTCTCCAGCCCCCTCAGCAGTGTATTGTAAACTGCATCCCCAAGCCTAGTTGTTAGATGAGCGAGTATCCCAAATGTCTTAAGTGTGTTTAGGATACCACACACACCTGGGTCCCCGCAGCTCACTAGTGGCTTCCCTGACCCAGGAGTCCAGAGTGCTCCGACGTGTGAAAGTTCCTGGACACGAACATCCCAGCAGCAGGAATTCCACACCTGACCTCGTGTCGCAGCTCACGGTGGAGGCAGACACACCAACAGCATCGCGTGGGGTCACCGCCGGGGTGGGAGCACGTCCGTGGCGCTGGCGTGTTTGATCTACTCCTGGGGTCCTCCAGGGCCCCTCATTGTGTGTGTGTGGACATTCCGGAATCCAGCAGGGTGAGGTCTGAAGTACTTCCAGTCCCGAGCGTTGCGGGGAGAGGAGTCACCTTGTCCTGTGAGTTTGATTGACTTTACCACCTGTGTACTCTGCACCATACTGGGCCAGGTCTGAACGTTGTTCTGACTCTGTGATTCTGAATATCGTCTTCTGAAACCGCCCTTCCCCGTGCACACTACTAGGGCACTCTTTCCACAGAATCGTGTGCTGGATTGGCTGGCTGAGGGCCCCTTAGTAGTAGACCTGGACCTGGGGCCACCCTCGTCTGGAGGGCCGGCAGTCTGTCTCGAGGGACCCAAGCTCCCTGCGTGTCCCCATGGCTGGTCCCCGAGTCCTACCTCAGGATGGGTCTGCCGTGTGAGAAGGGCACCTAGCCCATCCGCTGCTTGGTTCTCTGTCCTGTCCCTCAGGGCCACTGCCCTCAGCACCACACAGATGCTTCTGAGTTGGGTCCTCTGCTATCCCCTGGCTTTCGCTAGCAGTCCCGTGGCCTCCTCTCATGCTGCAACTCCAGGTGCAACCCCCCATTTCTCTGTCTTCCTACTTCAGGGGTAACCAGACCTGGCTGGTGAGCTTTGCACCCTATGCATGAGGTGTCTGTCCTGGCCTGGAGCAGGGCCCCAAAGTAGACATGGGCAGAGTGGGGATGCGGTGTAGAGAAGAGATCAGAATCAAGGGTCGCATCATTCAGGGGCTTTCATCATTAGGGACACCTGGTGGTGGGGCACTTGGAGTGGCCAAGGACTCAGAGTTGTGAAGGTGGGAGGAGGCCAGCAGGAGAGGCCGAGGCTGGGCAGGACTGCAGGCCTGAGCCCCACACCCCCCAGCCAAGGCAGAGGTGCTTTTCATCAACCTCCTGCCCCTTCATCTGTCCTCTGGCAGCCAGCTGTGGCCCTCCAGGCTGCTCGTGTCTTCCGGCCAGACATCCTGAGCCCCCAGCACCTGCAGCACCATCCGTGCCTGGGAAGACTGAGTTTCTAGCCCCATCCCCTTCTTGCAGGGCAGGGATGATGACCCCTCGTTAGATGGAGGAGCGGAGGCAGGAGAACAGGGCTGAGATTCCCACCATCCTCAGAGCCTGGATGCAGGACCGTGGGTGGGTTTGGGTTGTGGCAGTGAGACCTCACTGTCCTCACAGAGCAGTTCTGTGCAGTCCCTCGGGCAGGGTGGCACCGCTGTGCGTTGTTGTTGTTGTTGTTGAGACAGAGTTTTGCTTTGTCATCCAAGCTGGCCTTGAGCTCGCTGTGTAGTCCAGCTTGCCCTGGAAGTTCTAGAAGGTGGCAGTCCTGCCTCAGCCTCTTGAGCACAGGCTCTGTCTCAGGTGCAAGCCCTGCTTGGGTCTGGCTCCTGATGTGGCGCTGTCCACCTGGGAGCTTCTGACATGGGGCTGGCTCTTGCTGAGATGTGAGTGGTCACCCCCACTCTGGGGCCAGCCCAGCTGAGACCACAGCAGGGCAGGAACCGTGGGCAGGGTCTGCTGGACTCTGTGCTTGTAGCTGGCCAATAGCTTCTTCCCCAGAACTGTGCCTAAGGGGGGCTGGCAGTGCCCCCCGCAGACTGCAGCAAGTGTCATGTCCTATGTGGCTGAGGGCACAGCAGGTCTGCAGCATGGCTGTGGCTGTCCCTGCTGCACTTCTGCTCAGGGTGGAAGGCGCTGTCACACTGCTGCTGTGACAGCAGTTGTCCCCATGCCTGGGGGAAAATCCTTGTCCCCAGGGAATAGCCCTTCCATCCCTGTGTGGCCTGACACCTCTGTCATCGAGAAGGAAGCTGTCGTGGGGTGGCCTTAGCTGGGTCAGCTGAGCTCGACAGCAGCAGCGTGGAAGATGAAGTCCAGCCTTGTGGGAGCCGAGACAGACGGCCTTCCTAATAGCAGCTGCTCCGTTTGCGGCGTTGGAAGTGGCGTGACATCCTGGGTGCCTCTCCCTCTCCCGCATGCCGCATGGTCTGGCGCAGCTGCTCCTCGTAAAGTTCTCTGATGGGCTCCAGTCCTCGGCATCCATAAGTGACGGCTTGGACTCCGGGTGGGGACAGAGCTTTTCTCGGCTGAGGGCTGTGCCCTGTGGTTCCCTTTGCCTATGACAGCGCCGGGCCTGGCTGGTGCTGTTGAGCTGGGATCCAGCCTTAGAGGCAGGGCGACAGAGGGTGTGAGGATTGGAGGTGTTGGGGAGCAGCGGAGCTGGAGGCAGAAGCCCCGGAGCCCTGAACTGCCCTGGGACACCCTGGGCTCGTGAAGCTCCCAAGTCCGGGGCTGGCTGCTCTGTACAATCATTAGGATAGTATTTCGTTAATCTGCGTCTCTTACTGCCCACGCCAAGACACATCGGCCTCCTTTGCAAGCAGATTTGAAACCAGAGACCCTCGTATGGAGCTTAAAATATGGGAATTAAAGTATACATCTGTAATAAGTTGCAAAGCAGTGGGTAGGTGGCCAGGAATAACATAAACCTGCTTTTAAAAATTAGCTCCGAAGGAATTTTACTTTAGAAGAGCTAATTGGGAGCCCTCAAGCAGTGGTGCGAGGCAGCAGCTGTGGCTGCCCAGCTGGCTGCCGGGTGGGTGTGCCCGGAGGTGCTTTCTGCTGTTGGTGCCCGTTGGTAGGACATAGCCACAGGCCTCCTGGGCACATGCTCTGCACTCTGCTGTGCCCTCCCGCATCTTGTCTCCTTCCCTTTTGCTAAAGGTCTGTCCTTGTTTCCTATTAGCCACCTTTTATTCTGCCCTTTATTTATAGTTTTGCTTTCTCACATAAGAACTGCCCTGCTGCCAGGCACCTGGCGCCTGGGCGGGACCACCTGGCACCTGCACACAGCCTGGGGCTCCAGAACACAGTGTGCTGCCACCTGGAGAGGGTGGGATGTCCCCAGAGCCTGTCTGTGCCAGACTTCTCTGCTCGCCCCAGCAGAAAACTCTCAGCCAGTTCTCTGCAAGGAAGCGCGGAAGCCTCGCCCCCCACCGCCTGGCGCATGTCATGGGGAGCGAGCCGCGCCCGGCAGCACTGTCTAGCGCTCCACACCCAGCAGCTCCTCTGAGCAGATGAAGAGGATGTGGCTGCACTGCACGGGGTCGTGAGGACGGTCCCGGGGCAGATGGGAATCCACTCGGGTACATAGCTATTAGCAGTTGGGGTTCTGCAGGTGCAAAGGACAAACTGCTTCGCTAAAAATTTCTGCTGTAAAGTCAACCCCATATAAACCCAAGAAAAAAAATTTAAATTAATTCTGTATTCATAGTAATTTCCTAAAAACTTGGTCCAACCTTATGTGCTCAGGAGACTGGACTGGACTTATTTCCCGTTTCCTGCTTGCAGTTTTCAAGTATTTGGTGCATTTCACCCTGACTTGGGCATTAGCCTGAGGGAATGACCAGCTGCTGGCTATTTCAAGCACATTTGTTATATCAATTTTTGCTGTACAATAAGTTGCATCATATATTGGCTGTCTGGATTTGTGCTGGTTGTTGTTTGCAGTACTGGCTTTGAACCCAGAGCCGTAAGCTGAACTGCATCCCCAGCCAGTTTTATTTTTGAGTTTGAGACAGGCTCTTCTAGTTGATGAGTCGCTCACCTGGGGCTCGGGGCTGTGACCCTCCCGCCTCAGCCTCCTGGGCTGCTGGGATTGCGGGTGGCACAGGCATACTTGGCTTTCACCGTGCTTGGCTTTTAGGCCTCTTCTTCTGGGCCTGCATACTGCTCTGTTAGATGCGTGGTGGCCTGTTCTGCTGGGTGATGGGCCCTTCTTGGCCCTCGGTTGTGTGTGGGAGGTAAACATCCTAGGGTGTCTGGGCAAGTGTGACAGAGGAAACCAGGGTAATTGAGCTCCCCACTTCCATTTTAAGACTGACCTTTCACTTGCTGGCGGCCTGGGGCGGCGTGCGTGGTGCAAGGCCAGCTGTACTGGGGGTGTCCAGGCCCTGGTTCCAGGCTGACGGGAGCAGCTAGCGCCGCACCAGGTGTCTTGTTTGGGAACCTGTGTCTGGGCTCCCCTGCTGCCTGCCTGGGTCTGTCTGTGCCCTCAGGGTGCAGCTCTGGGGCTGCCTCTGCCCTAGTGGGAGCCGGGTAGAAGCCTCCCTGGGACAGTGGCTGGGTTGTGTGTGCAGAGGCACCCTGCTCTGGGCTGTTCACAGGATCTGCTTTGCACAGGGGCGCTGGTGGGCGTGTGGCCGCGGTGACTTTATCCCCAGCAGGAGGAGTTAGCTGATCTTTCTCAGCAAGTGTGATTACCCAGGCCGGACCTCTATGTAGTCGCAGCTGCAGGGTGGACGGACAATCAGGGGCCCCTCGCCGAGCCGTGGTGGACATGCACCATGAGTGACTTTGAAGAATGGATTTCTGGGGCCTACAGGAAGGTGGACGAAGGTCCTCTCCCGCTGCTGACGTTCACCACAGCCCCCTACCACGACCAGAAACCAGGAACCAGTGGGCTGCGGAAGAAAACCTATCATTTTGAGGCAAAGCCATGCTACCTGGAGAACTTTGTCCAGAGCATCTTCTTTTCCATAGACCTGAAAGACCGCCAGGGCTCATCCGTGGTGGTCGGCGGAGATGGGCGGTATTTTAATAAGTCAGCCATAGAAACTATAGTGCGGATGGCAGCCGCCAACGGGGTTGGTATCTGATGAGTGCCGTGTGTCTGGCTCGCCGTGTCCCTCCTGCCGTGCACAGCCCTGCGGATGTGCACGGGTGTGCACAGGCACGCGCCTGGGTCCAGCAGCGTCTGCCTCTCCCTCTCTGTGACTTCTGAGGCTGCGGGGAAGCCACGCCAGACTTTTAGGAGTAACTTTGGCATGCGGGTGTGGTGGTGGTGCTTGAAAAGTGCCTCGCGCTTCTTAGGAGCGCACCTTGGTCTCCAGCTTCTGTCTCTTGTCCCTCCACCCAATCCCTGATGCCCTGCCTGCAGGCTGTGGTGAAGGGGGCTGCTGCTCTGAGTCAGATGGGAGGACAGAGCCCGGCCTACTCTTGTATGAGGAGCTGCTTAGGTGACTGGCAGTGCCAGGAGGGATTGCAGAGCGCTAGGTGTGACCCTGCCAGGGTGACCGTTTCTCATGGCCTCGAGCACAGAGGAGCCCGTGTGGGGGAGTTTGTGTGGCAGAGCAGAGGCAGCTTCCACCACAGGAGGCGCTGCCACTGGGAACTCGCGCTGGCAGACTAAGCCAGCACTCGGAGGCCTGGGCCGGGGTGCTGAGCCTGCACCCTAGGGGTTGGCGTTGCCGATTCTCTTCTGCAGGCTTCTCCGGGGGCCCAAGGAAGAGAACAGCTGAAGTCCCTTGCAGCGTTTTTAGACCACGCTTTGTGACAGAGTGGAGTTCGTAGCCCCTCATACCCGTATGTGTTCAGGTCTGTCGTGTTCTTTTCTGGAAGAAATTCTGGCTTTGAGAACACGAAGCGCAGCCTTGCCCCCAGCGTGCCCGGCGTTTGTTTCCACTCTGCTTTATTCCTGTGTCAAGCATGCGTGTTTGGGAAAACCAAATTAAAGAGAAGAAAAATCCCACGAAGTGAAAGTAGGAGGAAGTGTGTAGCTCCTGGTGCTTGGGAGGTGAGGGTCCCCTCGTGCCCGGTCTCAGGGTCCGAGCGCCTCTCGTGTGGAAGTTGCTGATCAGGCACTCAAGGATGAAATTATTATGAAGCACACACATTTTTAAGATAAAATGTGACGCGCCGTAAATTTCTTCTTTGGGGAGAGCTGCACAGGGAATGGTATTAAGATGCTTTTAATCTTCGCAAAGGGGCGAAAGGGATATTATTTCTCTGCGTATATCTGGACTGTCGCAGGGATCCTGCACACTGTCCCCTCGGCTGTGATAGATTTGCTTCATTTCATTTTTGTGCCGAGCTGAAGGATGTGGGCGAGGCGGTAGGAATGTGTGATTCAGGCCGCCCCACGGGCTTTCCCAGATTTACTATCCAAGGCTGTGCTAAATAATACATTCAGCTGACGATAATTGACTAAATGCGGGCACTGTCCGTCGGGTAGCTGTGGCCGCCCAAGAAGCATTTTCAAGGACATTCCTTATTAAAAATGGCGCTGCATTGAGGCAGTTGTGTCGGCCAGGCAGGTTCGTAGGACGTGCCGTGGGGAGGTGGGCACTCCAATCAGGTGGCGCCTGTGAGAGCCCAGACAGAAGGCTTGCTTTCTGCTCTTCTAAGGTGTCCTAGACTGTGGTTGTCCTAACGCTGCTCTGGCTGCAGGGAGGGCGCGGGAGGACCTCTGATGGGAGGATGAGTCTTCGCACCGATGTTGCAAAAGGCAGTGCTCCTTTCTGCCCCCACTTCTGATCTGTGGAGGACTTTTGAGGCTGAGGAACAGAAAGGAGAGGGTCTTGCTTTGCTCCCTTTAGCCCACTTGGGTCTGTTGCGTCATGGTGCGTAGTGTGTAATCGATCGGCCTTCATAGACGTCTCTCTGGCTGGGTGCGAGGGTGCAGGCCTGTAATCCCAGCACTCGCCGCGGCAGTCAGGAGGAGCCCAAGCTCAAGGCCAGCCCGGGCAACTTAGCGAGACTCTGCCTCCAGATGCAGAAGAGGCACCCAGGCTGGGAGGCAGCCCCGAGGCGGAGTGCACGCACATGCGCAGAGAAGAGGAAGGTGCTCCGTGGAAGCCTACAAGCTGCCCGGAGCTTTAGGGCCCTGGGACCTGTTTAGAGCGTTGGTGTTTAGAGCCCTGCGTCCCCACAGAAAGTGACAGGCTGGGGCAGAGCTCAATGCACCTTCAAACAGAAGGAAACAGCGCCTGGCTCCTTATAGGTGCAGGAAAATGCAAGCCCCGTTGTCAACAAGAGCAGTGCTGGACGCCGGACTCCCCACTGTGCCTGCTGTGAGCGTCCAGCTGCAGGGGCCACCCAGGTTGGTGGCAGGTTCCAAGTCCCCAGGGACTTGGGAAGGAACAGAAATAGCTGAGGCCCTGGGGCCTGGGCTGGGCTAGCAAGGGCTGGTGAGCTCTGTGGAGGGGGGTGGTCCTTACCCTGCCCACGGCTGGACTTTGTCACACTTCTGTACGGGCGCTGCCTGTTAAGTCGTCGATCCCATGCCCCCCTTCAGCTCCTGAGCCTCCTGCTGCTTGGGTCTGTGTGGGTTTGCCTACGCTAGGCTCCTCGTGTCAGTAGAATCGTCTGGCATTTTGTCTTTAGTGTGAGACGGGAGATCGAGCCAGGCCAGCAAGTCTGCTGCTGAACTCCCTCCAAAGCCCCCAGCCCTTGTTATGTTTTACTTTAAGACAGGGTCTTACCAAGTTGTCCAGGCAAGCCTCGCGTGTGGGGTCCTCCTGCTTCAGCCTCCTACGTAGCTGGGGTTGCGGGTGTGTGCCACGATGCTTGGCCAGTATTTGTGCTTTTTCTGTTATTCATTAGCATAATTTTTCAAGGCTCGTCCTGTGAAGTCGCGGTGGGTCAGAATTCAGTGCCCTGCGTTCTGAGAGGAGTGTTGATCCTATGTCCTCCTCCCAGTCATGCATGTATTCATGGAGAGCAATTCTAGCTTTGAACTCAGAGACCGGTTTTGAACCACAGTGAGTCGTAGTAATGATGTCTCAGCTGTTTTGAAGTGTATAGTTGTGTTATACACACGCGGTTGTGCAACGAATCTACGGAACTTCCTCATTTTGCCAAAGTGCAGCTCCACACCTGAGGACTATGAATCCCCAGCCCTCCCTGAACCCCAGGGCACCTCTCCTGCCATTTCTCTGCTTTTGACCACCTTAGATTCCTGGTGATGGTGGAACCAAGCAGCCCAGGGCTCCTGCCTCTGCAGGTTGTGCTGCACGCCGGGTCGCCTTTTCTTCATCCCCTTTATCTCTGCCCTTCTCTTTCCCACTCACTCTGTGACTCCCTCCAATCAGATCTCCTTTTTAAAGGCTGAGTAATATTCCCTTGTGTGCATCTCAGCATTTATTTTAATTGTCTGTCCAGGGAAGGGCATTTGGGTTGTTGTGAGCAAGATTGGCCAGAGGAGTGGTGCACTGGGTCTGGTGGGTCCCACTGGACTTCAGGGGCTGAGAGGGGAGCTGGGTTTTTGGTTCAGGGGGTTCTGAGACTGAGTAAGAGGGTGAACTTGTCCTGGAGGGCAGGCAATGTCCAGACTGGCAAGGTGGAAGGGTGAAGGAGGGACAACTCCCCAGAGCCACTGCACTGTCCCTGGGTAATCACAGGCTCTGCCGGCGCATGGTGGCTTCCTGGCTGAGGGGTACCCAACCCGTGTGGCCTCGCGGACCCCAGCATGACTGTGCACCTGCAAACCCTGCCGTGAGGACCGCTGGGCTGTGTGCACACACGCTGGGTGCTCACTTGTCCCTCCCCCTGCCAGCGGCAGCTCTGGGACCCCGGCCCCACCTTCTCTGGCTCATTCCCAGGTGTCCCATTGTTGCTGTGGGTGTCGGCTGGGCTAGTGATGAGCGACGGCAGGTTGTCAGGGTCTGGCCGTCAGGGTCTCCGCTGCGTAATGGGTTTGGAGCCTCGAGGTGAAAAGGGCTGGGGCACAGGCGGCCCAAGCTGCTGAGAGGCGGCCATGGGCACGGATGCTGCTGCAGCCTCGGCTCCGGCTCCGTCAGCCTGCGGCCCTGGGGGCAGGACACACATACTGGGTGGCGGCTGCTGCTGGGGACAGACACGGAGGAACCAGAGGCTGGAAGCAATCCGGCTGCCCCGGCTTTGGGCCCAGGGCTGTGCTCTCAAGCTTTCCTCTGCCACCTACGAGGGGAGCAAGTGCAGGGCCCCCGAGAAGCTCCTGAGGGGACCCCACTGTGCTCCCAGCATTTGTATCATCAGAAACGTCCTCCCCCATCAACCACAGACACCTTGTGTAGGACCAACAGCAGTGACGGGTGGATAAAGAGGCTGAAAAGGCTCCTGTCCCACGCTTCTCCCAGAAGGGCGATGGGGGAAGGTCACCATCTCCATCTTCTGTCTTTACTGTTTTGTTTTTTGAGACAGGGCCTTCTGTGCAGCTCAGGCTGTAGCCCAGGCTGACCTCGAAGTCATGGCGATCCTCCTGCCTCAGCCTCCTGAGCGCTGGGATCACAGGCGTGTCTAACACGCCTGGCTAAGTTTGTGAAATAGAGCAGAGGAATGGACAGAGCTTGTCCAGCTCGGGGCAAGAGGTGGCAGGTGGAAGTTACTGTCATTTTAGCAAAGGGAGAGTCCAGAGCCAGGCTGGATCCCTCGTGGGAGACGCAGGGCTGTGAGTGAGGGCCGTGGGAAAAGTCCAGCCTTCGCCTGGTCCTGGGGTGCTGCCACCGGCCGATGCAGTCATTAGCCCTGCGGGGCTGTGGAGGGCCCCTAAATAACTGGGGGCCCCTGACCTGTGAGGTGCGTCCACCACACAAAGCCCCAGCTTGAAGGAGAGAGAAGTATGCAAGATGGTTTTGTCTTAGTCTTGATATCAACTTTACTTTTCTCCCAGTTCTTTAAGGATTTGAGGGCTGCCGTGCTGACCTGCCCCAGGGGCGCACTGAGACAGGGCTTGAGACTGGCTGTGGTGGTGTGTGCCTAGAATCCTAGTGCTGGGGAGGCTGAAAATAGGAGGCTCACTACGAGTCTGATCTGTGTAGTGAGCCCCTGTGAATCCTGTACTAAATACAAAAAAAGAAGAAGAAGAAGAAAAGGAAGGATTTGCCCTTCTGGAAGCCTTGCGGGGGTGGGGGTGGGG